ACCCCGTGGTTCTCCCGTAATGCTATTGCGGGCTATCCCCTCCTCCCTTCAATGCCAATTTACCAAAGCCCCCCTGGACTCCTTCGCACTGCCTCCCCGCTGCCTGAGTCTGGACTCTGTTCTGATCACTGTTCCATCACTATTCCAGTCACTGATGACTTCTATGTTCACACAGCAAATGGGTCTCCGCATCTCGCAGCCTCCTTGAGCCTGTAAACCCGACACTGCTGACCACCGCCTTTCTGAACTCCTCTTCCTCGACCTCCAGTTTTCAGATAAAATAAAAAGTCCGTTTTTGCCCCTCATCTGTGGCACTCGGCTGCAGGTCTCCTTCTGTGTCTCTACCTGTTCCCTCGGCCTCCCTGCTGGCGCTTGTCCGTCCCACGGTCACATTAGCGTGTGGCTGGTTTTCCAAGGGGCTTAGGCTTTGCTCACGTTCTCCTTGGAAAACGAACCTGAAGCAACTCCAAGTATGTTCTAAACAGAGAGATCAATGGAATTAAACTCCTAGGTGACCACTTGGAAAGCTGAGACATTTGGGTTTAAAAGTTCTAGAAAAGGCAACACAGGGAAGTGATCAAAGAAACACGGGCCTTGGAGCCAGACTCTCTGGGCCACATTCTGGCCTGTCACTTCCACACGGTGTCACGTTGGACAAATGCACCTCTCGGGCCTCGGGTTCCCCAGCTGTAGAGGATTCTGAGGATTGAAGACTGGCATACTGTAAGCACTTTTAAAGTGATTATTAAATAAGTTCCGAGACACCAGCTTTAAAAACCCAAAGTTTAATATATGGGCCTACCTTGTAACTTGACATTTTGTTTTTTCACGTTTGTTTTTCAAAACCCTTAAAATGCACTAACTCCAGTAGACTGAGTCACTTTTGTAATTCAACACAACATTACAGGTTTCTAAGAGGTCAGTGTTCACCATTAGAAGAAGCACAGCTTTCTGGAGCTGGAAGCAAAGTGCAAGTCTGCTGTAACTTGATCATTTTACAGACGAGGACCCTAAGGACAGGAGAGGCGAAGTCACAGGGCAGAGTCGGGACAGAAAGGCAGGTGGAAGGTCTGCATGATGAATCGGCAAAGAACATTTTCCTTCAAATTTTCATGACGTGAAGAAGTGCTCTTTCTTAGAATGCAGTTTTGCTTTCAGGAAATGTTTTCTTTCCTTGTGATGAAAAATCTGAAATTTGATGAGAAGGAAACTACCAAAACCTTAAGCTCACAGCTACTAAACCCCACTTCACTCAGGGGGAGTTGGCAGTCTCTCAGGAATGCATCCATTCTGCAGCCAAAGGTCCAGCCACATCAAAGGAGACCATGTATTTTTTAAATCTTCATGGTTATTCGAATTACAAAAGTGATTTTAAACATCTATTGAGAAAAATGTCCTCATTTTTGTTTCTGCAAACCCCACTTCCAGAGATCTTTTGAATGGTAAGCATAACAAATAAGGTTAAAAGGCACAAATAAACAGCAGTTGGGACTTATCTGGGACTTGCTCTGCCGTGTGCAGCGACTTGCACCAGACCTTGTAGAAAGACAAAACGGAACGAGCACGCTTTATCCAGGCCCAGAGAAAGTTCGCCAACTAAAGGGGAGGCTGAACAGATGCAAGTGAAGAACACATTATAGGCCCCGAGAGCACACACACAATGAACAGACGGAAACCTGTCCTATCAGGGACGGGCCCACCTTCCTGAGCAGCTCGGAGACTTCAGGTTGTTCACAAGCTGGAAGCTCTGTGTCCATGGATATTCTATATATGGGTCTAGCTACAGAGACTACAGAGCAATCATTTTTCAAACATAAAACAAGTTATTTTAGAGTTTGCAATTGACAAGTCCAAATAATAGAATTTTTTTTCTGTTAGCTAGCAATCTGTTACAGAGCCAAGGAACAAATGACTAAGCCCCCTAAACCACAGCAGTAAGTCATTTAACAAGGCGCCTGAGATCAAATGTGTCTGATCTCAGGGATCTGGCATGCCTTATCCAGAACCCCAGTGAAACGCATTTACACACGCACAGGCCTCACCTCCCTGTGAGAAGCTCTGCAGCACCGACTGTTGCAATACTGTCTACTGTGGCCCAACTACTTCCTTCTGAAGAAACAGCAAAGCTATTCTTTCCAATTGCTTTAAAAAGAAACTAGACACTCTTCAAGCCTATTTATCCTGCTCCCTGGTTTGAAACCTGAAGATGTATCATAATCTTTCAGACCATTAAGTTATTCTTTACCGGCAAAGAAAGTGTAATCTAATTAAGCACTTAACCTACAATCAGGTAATTAACAAGCAGAGCAAATTTAATTGTTCTGCAAGGACTTCAGTAAAACTGCCAGCTGACGTGGCAATGAGACACGGTTGGCTTGGGGGGAACAGAGTACATTTCCTATTTATAATTGTCTAAAACGCAGCAGCAGAATGTGAAGAAAGCATCAGAACACCTCAGCGGTTGCCATAATTCTACTGCTTACCGTTTCAGGGTCCTCTGAGAAGCCACTGAGCCTCTCTTTGCCCTTTTTTTTGGTCTATAAATAGGACTAGGAGTACTTACTTTATTATGTGTAATGAACTAACAAGATTACATATGTGAAAGAAGCTGCTGAACCATACTGGCCCTATACATCACAGGCATCAGTATTTGAATATAACTGAAATGAAACAGAAATGGGCATGGACAATGTTACTGACGTCATCATTAGGTAAACCTGGGTTATGTGGATACTCAGATCATCTGTTCTATTTTTTATAATGTGCTTTGGACGTGAATGAGAGTGCATTTCAAAGTGAGTTACAAATTAATTAGAAAAAGGCCTTCTAAAAGAAAGTTTTTTGAAAAGTCTCTCTTCTGAGATAGGACTTTTTTTAAAAGCAAGTTATCTTTCAAAACTCATATATTCCCATTTTTTCCCATCTAGAGAAAGAATCTGGCGAAAAGGCCTTGCAAGTGCAGATAAGAAACTGGCCAAACTCCAGGACCCATGTGCGCACTCTAGCTATGAGTCCAACCAGAGGGCCCGCGTCCCCTGGGAAGCAGACTTTACAAAATAACTTCCTCAGATAACAAGGACACGCCGCTCGTCTGACGAGCCTGTGACAATTATATAATATATATTACATGGAAATTTCCAAGAGGCAGAGAGTACACGTTATGAAATGGGGCCACTATTCTAAGCATGTATTATGTGTAAGTCTAGGAATTCATTTAGGAAATGTCATTGGTCTTCTGTGACGTGCCTTTATGTGGCCCTCCATGGGAACAAGCTGTTTGAATCAGTAACATCACCAGTCAACCTTTCGGCACCTTTCGGCCTTCCTATACTGGGGCCACGTTTCCAGTTTCTGGCTCACGCTGCTTGAATCTGTGCAGACACTAGACACCATCCCTTCTCCTAAAAGCAAGCAGTGAGGCCTAACAACAACCCACTCCAAGATGTTTCTGCCAAATATCAAAGGATTTGGGTGGGGGTGGGGGGGGCAATCATTTTCCAACAGCACTTTTCACAGCAAACTAATGAGAAATAGCTTCTACAAATGCAAGAAATGTGATGCATATATTTTAAAAAGAGTACCATCCGTCTTCCTCTGTAAAAATACATCCCTTTAAAAGCTGGGATTGCTTTCTGTGACAAATAGTTGTTCTCTTCCCTAGAAAACCCTTGCTACCCATGACATCAACCCACGGCTTGACAGCTGCTACTTCTAATACATACTGTACTGTTTTGATCAAATAACAGAGAAATTACTCTGGAGCTAAGAGAAGTCTTCAGCTATTTGTTAACCACATTCTTCTGGTAAATTCCACGGCATACAAGCCAGCACAGCACGCTCCTTTTAACATCTGTGGAGCCTCTTCTTCTTGGTGCTGGATTCCATTTTTAAAAGTTTACTTTTTTCCCACTTTAAGCATAACTCTGTCAACACTAGAACACGTACTCTGTTCCCATCAGCCAACATTTGCAGGCTTCGGGAACGCTGGTCCCAGCTGCCCCCTTGCTGCTGAAAGTGAAGTGTGAGCTGGAGCGGCCCAGACACAGCACCAGGGCTGACAGCAGGCGAGCACAGAGGGCATGTCAGGAAGCAGAAGCCACGAGACGCCACCTCAGAGCATCCCCGCTCTCCCTGCATATGTGACTGATAACCAACATATGTGAAAGGTTTGACTTTCCTAATCTTCTAGTGTCAAAACTCTCTGGTCCTAAAATTCTGAGCTGCTAGATACTTAGACCTTAGGGGAAGAACTGAGTCCACGGAGAATTGCAGTGGTCACGTGCTGTTTGCTGGTTAGTATGAGCTTATTTATTATAACCACGCCCCCTCCACATTCTTCAAAAACAGAGAGAAGCTAGGCTGCAAAGCACCAGGAACCCTAAGTCACTGCTGTGCCTGGGATCACACGGCACTCTAACACAGCTGTTCAGAAGGCCACTCTCTGAAGAATGCGTTTTCACTGTAGAGGAAGGATAGATGGATGTAAATAGCTCTGCATTTTCCCCATTTAGTCTAACATCTGTAACATTCAAAAGTGCGTGCACAAACACTTCCTTTTGTATAATCTGACCGGCAGCCAGCACAACTGCACGCAGGAGCAGAGGTTTGCCAGAGGCACAGAAAGGCCGGCGCAGCGTGGGGAGCGCGGATCCATAGATCCCACCCCACGCATTCGCGGTTCAGCTCGCGGTTCACCTTAAACCCACAGCCAGGAAGGCGACTTCTCAATAAGCAACGGGAATTCCACCACGAGCCTGAACTGAAATGTCTGTTTTCACTTCTTTGGTTATAACAAACAGTATGACGAAAAAAATCAACGAGTTGGCGAAATTTTCTGACTATGAACTCCCGGCCCTCACCTTCGTGCAGGGGGCCCAGGGCACGCAGGCAGCGCGCAGAGGCCGCCCCGGGCGCACCTCTAAGGCTCTGCCCCCCCCTCACCCCCCGCACCCCGAGCAGGGACCGAGCGCACATCCTCTGCTCTTTGCAAACGCACTTACCCTTCGGAACGACACGACGTAGAAAGTGTCTCCCCGTCTGCGGATGGCGTCAAAGAAGTCCCGGTAGCCCCTGGGGGACGCGTAGTACACCTGCAGCTCGCTGCCCGCGCTTCCGCTGGCGGAGAAGAGGCAAAGGGGGTCAGGCCACAGAACCCACACCGCTCAGGACACCCCATCCTAAGGCTCGTCCAAATCACAAGAATCTCAACCAAGCAGTAGTCGTTTTTTCTAAGAACATTTGAAATGCCCAAGGTCAGGAGATCTGTAAGATTCAATTCACTAAAGCTAAAATTCTCATTTCTAAATCAAGGCTCTAAATAAAACATACCCGATAGCAAGTGCATTCTAAAGCACCTAAAAGTGAAGAAAGTACCAGAAAATGATCTCTGCACTGGTTTGCATGATTTCGAAATCTGGGGTAACAAAAGTTCAGTCTGATGGAGGTATTTTTCACGGCTCTGCGAGACCTGCGAAGACACACGCGCGTGCCTGTCAGGCCACTGGTGTGGAAAGTGGGAAGAGCCTGGATCTGGGAACAAAGTAACCAGCTCTGGGATCCTGCCCTGCTCCTCGGTTGGGTGTCCCTGGAGCCATCCCCACAGCAAGCTCGGTCACCTTGTGGCTGGAATGAGCACGGCCGTGAGGCCGGCAGGACCTGGCAGGCCGGGCAGACACTGGGCCACACGGGCCCTGTCCCACAGGAGCCTCTACAACCGCTGGCCGCCGTTAGTAAAAGTGCCTGGCAGCCCTGTAACACCCCAACCACGGCCCGGCCCGAAGACTCGCTCCCACGGATCCGTCCCGTTCTCAGGAACGTGGGTCTTTCTTTCACTGTTAGCACAATCAGCCACGCCCGTGAGTCAAGGAGAGTCACAGAAAGAACGCTTCCTTCTTCTCCAAAAAGAAAACATGGATGTCTCTCCTGTATGTTTTCATCTAATCTGTATGTTTTCAATCAATCTTCATTAACTTGTTCAGTGAAGTAAGTCAGGGAAAGACAAATATCATATGACTTCACTTATATGTGGGATTTAAAAGACAAAACAAGCAAACAAACAAAACACACTCATAGGTACAGAGAACATTTTGATGGTTGCCAGATGGGAGGGGTTTGGGGAGGTTTGGGTGAAAAGGGGGAGGGATTAAGAAGTGCAAACTGGTTGTTACAAAATAGTCACGGGACGTAGAGTACAGCACAGGGAATAGTCAGTGATGTGGTGATAACTGTGATGTCGGATGGGAACTGATGGGGGGGGGTCACATCGTAAGGTACATAAATGTCTAACACTCTGCTGTACACCTGAAACTAATATAATACTGTATGGCAACTGTAACTGAAAAATAAAGAACTATTTAAAAAACAATCTTTATTAGCTTAGGAGAAAATGAGTGGCCAAAAAGGAAATTGTGAGTGAGTCACAGAACCTCCTTGGAGATGATTCCATTTGCTCACTAGGCTGTAATACTCTGAAAACGCAGCCAGTTCTCACTGTCCATGGCAGCTGTGGCCTGTAAAGTCGGTGCAAACACTGAATCAGCAATTCGTGAGCCATGCTCCCAAGGGAAAAACAGGCTCGTTCCTGCGAGCCCCTTGGTGGAGCGTTTCCATCGGCCTTGTTTTCTGCTCCTGCTGAGACGGCCTGTCCCACACATATTACTCCCGCGTGAGCACTGAGCCTGCTGGAACTCAGGCCTGCGGGAAGCTTACGTGACACCTGTCCTTACCCCAGCAGGCCCGTCCCAGCCTTCTGACGCTGTCAACACAGGCAGCATGTGGGCACTCCACTTGGGGGCCACCAAAAGCACAAAAATGTGAAAGACATGGTCATAAATACACCGGGAAAAGGCCAAGGCTACTGGGACAAAAGGCACCGCTGCCCTGTGACATCTCACCTGGGAGCGTCTACACGTGTCTGGAAATGACCACGGAAGCGCTCTGAGCACCAACCAGGGTTACAATTTCAGAAAGCAGGCAGGTCACACATACGAGTGGAGACAGGAGGGCCGGCCTACAGCCCGTTAAATCCCCGCGGGCTCACCTGAGGCTGGTGGTTTCCGTGTACTGGACGGCCATCAGCTGGGAGTCGGAGCCCTGTCCCAGGGCGCCCTGCAGGAGAAACAACCATGTCGTGACACAAGGGAATGCCATGAAGAGTGTCCCACAGTGACTCATTCTACACCGACATGGACTCAACTCTCAGGGAAGCACTCAGGTTTCCTCTTGCGGATATTCTGCCACATTAAGTTTACACAACTCAATACCAACACAGAAGTCAGAACCCCCTTGGTCACGTTCTGGGCTGACAGCTGTGTCTTATGGACTCGAAGACATTTAAGACACTTCCCATTAAGTTTTTTAAAAAATGCCCCAAAGCTCAAGGCAAGTACCCCAGGTTTTACAGCCAGGTCGTGAACGTGCTCCTGAACATGTACCGTCTAAGGCTTGCCTAAAATAATGACTTCCCATGAAAAGTTCCTGGAGCATGGAAGGTCTGCGCGAAGCCAGTCCCACTGTTCGCTGAGCTCAACACAAGTCTTCACGCCTGCAAACACCTATGGACTAAGCCATCATTGAAGAGATCTCATCAAAAGAACCAAGCCCTCTCCCCCCAGACTCAGAGATAAGGGGGCTTTAAAAACACTGTCTCTTTAAAAGAGACACGAGGAAACAGAAATCGAATGTGCCACTTCCCTGCCTGAGATTCACACCAACTAACAAAGGGGCCTCTGCGCTGTGGCTCTTGTAACTTGGAGGATTTAGCAAAAGGTGGAAACCAGCACAACGGTCCGGGAGGCAGTTACTGGAGACGAGTGGGGCTGAGCTCCTCCAGCTCTGCTGTTGGTCTGTCCAGTCCTCCCGTCAGTGCTGTCACATTTCCACGAGATGTATTTGGAAGGTTTGTTATCAGGAGCCTCTATATTTGGAATCATGTCTCCTTGATTTAATGTCCTTTTACTATGAAGTCTGCTCTTAGCCTCTTGTAACATTCTGTCTGGAAGTCGACCTTGTCATTAATACAGACACACCAGCTTCCTAAGGCTTAATGCTTGCATGGCATACACACATTTGCGCCATTTTCCATCTGTGTGTCTTTATATTTAAAATGTTATTTCTTATAAACAGCATATAGTTGGGTTTTGTCTTCTTAAAAATCTAGTTTGACAATCTCTCCCTTCAAACTGCTGTGTTTATCAGCCCACTGAATTCTATTTCTAACGTGGCTGGGCTCAAGGTACTACCTCAGTTTATATTTTCTACTTAACCTATGTGTTCTTTGTTTGTTGGTCCTTTTGATGCCTTGTTTTGGTTGAAATACATGTTTTTAGCATTTCACCATCATTTACTATCCTGGCTTTTAGTTGCACTTCTTCGTCCTGGTTTTTACTGGCTGCTCTGGAGAGCACACTTTCATCTAGAAGTTACCACAGCCTCCCCTGAAATATTATTTGAACAGTAAGAAAACTTCCTAGGAGGAGATTCCATTTACCGCTTCTAAACCTCCTGTAAATCCCACGACAAACTGTTCCGAGTTATTGCTTTAAAAAAACAAGCCTTTTAAAGGCATTTATATTCACACCAACACAAAATAAAGATACTAACAAGGGCGAGGCATTTATTTTTACCAAATGTTTACCAATCCTGGTGCCCGTCCTTCGTGCTATCTGGCGCCTAAACAACTCTCTAGTATTTATTTCTTCTGGAGACAAACTACTGCAGTTTCTGTCTGTCTGGAAATGTCTTTATTTTGCCTTCATTTTGAAAAATATTTTCACTAATTTGACCCTTTATCTTCTCTCATAACTCACAGTTCAGGGGAAGGGTAGATTTATGAAATGGCACAAGCCAAATCAAGTACACTGTGCATAGAAATGACAGAAATCTCATCAAATACACAGGACACCTCATTATACTGTTGGGTCCCCAGGCCAGGTGAAAGGGGTGACGTGACGGAGAAAAGGGGGAGATGAGGGAAGGCCACCTAAGCAGGGCAGCTGTGAGCCCTAAGCTCAGACAGAACCATGGCTGAGGACGAGGCGGGGGGGGCTCCGACTCCCCACTGAAGGAGAGGTGGGCCACTTACAGGCTCTGTACCAACAGCAGCGCAGGCAGAATGGCCGTGCTCCCCTCTGACTGAGCATGACTTGTGCCCCTTCCACTGGTCCAGACCCCCCTGCCCTTCCTTTCCCTGTAACAGCTGGGAGCCCCACATTTGTGAGCGTCACCTATGCTCACTACACAAAAATATGCACCCCAAAAGACTTTAAACTCCAAATCTCTGCCAAATGTCCCAAAGCAGTGAAATTAAAACAAACTCTTCTCATTGCATCAAAATTCCTTCAAGGTTAAGGAACAGCAACCACTCCTTGCACGGTGAGCTCTCCGTTTCTTTGGCTAACGACCAGGATAAAATCACATGAGAGCATCAGAAGGTGAGGTGAAGAAACCGACTGAGCCGAGGCCATATGCCAAGTCCTCGTGAGGCCATCACAACAGCTGTGCCCTTCCGTAGACAGCAAGGGTTGGGGCGTGCACTGCACCACCCACACCTTCTGCCACCAGGTCCTCAAAGCAGGACATGCTGGCTCGCAGAGGGAGACAGAGCCCACTCTCCGTCTGCTGTGGGGCTCTGGCAGACACAAGTTTCCGCAGGGCTGTGCATCACACCCCAGTGCACTGAGCGGCTCTGGGGCTCTGTGGCACCTGTGACATTGGCCATGACCGCCTGTAGACTTCAGCAGTCAGGCCTAGCAGTCAATACAGCTGCCGTGACACATGACACAGGGCAATGGAGAGGCCCAGAGAGGTGCATGCCAGGCAGTCACAGAGTGTCAGAGCTGGAGTCCCCCCCGGGGCCCCTCAGCCACTCTCTGGAGGAAAGCCATCCTGGAGAGCTGGCAGACTGGGGGGGCGGGGGGACACGCTGGCATTCCACTAAGCTACTGAGACTCGGGGGGCCAGCTGCTGCAACGACCGTGCATTCCCGAGTGCAGTCTGCAGAGAAGTCCCTCGGCACCACCCCGTCTGACAGCCACACAGCCCCCCGTTTCCTGCTGCTTCCTTAGAGAGCTCACCATTCTCTTGGGCAAACTGAAATAGCCTTGACTTGTTTGCTGTTTTTCTCTGCACCAGGACATGAGCCCCGTAAGGCGAGGACTTTCTCATCGTCGCCACTGTGTCCCCAGGGTCTGGAGCGCCACCCGGCATATTCTCACCACCACAGTGACGGCTGCTGGGGGCCTGCAGCATGCTCGCTGCCAAGCTAAGTGCTTCAGAAGTAGTGACACATATTTGCCCAATGATGGAATGACAATAAACAGTGCTTTGTGGCAAACAGCATAAGATGGAGGCCCAATTAAGCAGGTGCTGAGCGAGAGCTGTCATTAATCTGCAGACCTACATGTCAGGAATGCCCTCCGAGGACACAGGTCCCCACTTCCACGTTGTCCTGAGTTTCTGAAGAGCTCTGAGAGCACAGGCAATCACCAGTGTCGTCTGTTCTACCATTTGTGCCAAACACTTCACCTGGAGACATGGGTGCCCGTACAGGGGAAGCCCTGGTGTGAAGGCCAGTCTGAGGAGGGAAGGCAGGCCTGACAGCTCTGCAGGAGCAGCAGGAGGCCGGGGGGGGCGCTGTGGTTCAGGCTCCCATACCCTCCCACGTCCTTGGGGGAGAGAGCAGCCTCCAACACAGATGCGGAGTGCTGCTGGGAGACCAGGAGACACACCTGCAGGATGCGGTCCTTGTGGTCATCACTCGTCATCCTTCTCGACTTGGTCCTTTCCACTTCGTGCCTCTGAACCCACCCTCGGAGTTCATGGTTTAACCTGTAAAACAGCTTCATTAATGAGACAAACTACACAAAAATAAGTCTCACCTGCTGAAGGAATTAACCCCATTCTACAGGTCCCACAGAGTGCCAGGTGCCTGAGGATCAGTGCTGCTTTTTGGCCTGGAAAAGCTAAGACGCTCAATGTTAAGTTCATTTCAGGAGGACACGGCCTTTCAGACGGCAGTCTCCTCAATCACGAGCTCCGAGTTCCCAAAAAGCTGGGGCCACACACCTGCTGGGCGGAAACATGGTACGGACACTTTCCACACAACGTGTTTCTGTCTCTCGGCTGCGTACACACCAGCAGCGGAGATGCTGGGGCGCACACAGCAGGTAGGACCCCCACCAACAACGGTGCGTCACAGCCTTTGAAAACCATCCCCTCGTGAGAAGGAAAAGAATGAACTCCCATGCTCGGGAGAGAAAGGAAGTTCCAATGCACTATAATCCAAATTTTCCAATACCAGAAATTTTTAAAAAGCCCAGCCCGCATATAACTTCCCCTTATTTTGCTTCCTTTTTAGAGCAGTTGTAGAGCAGTTGTAATGAAGCCGTTGAGGTTCAAGGATAGGATCCAAAATCACAAGAAAAGGTTCAAGAGAAAACCAGATACGAAAAGGTGCTCTATGGGCAAGAGTCTCTAGAATCACGTCTTTAAATTATCATCTTCCTAATTTAAAGAAAAAGGTACCCTCTGCTATGACTGTCACCACCGGCAAGTCTAACACGTCCCTGAGTTTTTACATTAATGTCATCCTGGAGTTTTCAAACAACACGTGTGTAAGAACGTGACCCCAAACCAGCGCACGAGGCAGAGCCATCACCATCTCTGCCGGGCTGCTGGGGACCGGGCAGCAACCCGTGCGTGCGGTTACCTGACGACCCTCAGCCACCTGGACAAGCTGAGCACATGTGCCCGAGTCCCGGCGCTCAGCACAGGGCCCCGCCCACACCCGCCACAGCCGCACGCACCTGAGGGACTCGGTGGTGTTGATGAGGGGCTGGCACGGAGGCGGGGCCATGAAGAGCAGCGGGTCCTCGCTCAGCACCATCAGGGCCTTGTCGCGGGACACCGAGGGGTCGGATCTGAAACACACATTCACACGACGTGTCTCCTGGGGTCCCAAGCTCCTCAGCCAGCCAGCACTGACGTGAGCCCTTCAGAAGGAAAGCAGCGGCCAAGTCTAATGTGAGACAACCAGGAACACCCACACCACACGACGTCACTCGCTGGCTCACAGGGCACCCACGGGTCCAGCCACCGTGACGGAACGTTACTGTGCATGAGAAGCTTCCATGGTCACACATGGCGCTGCTGGGACCGAGGAGGTGACCCAGAGGAGAGCCTGGGAAGGCCCACCGAGCTAGGAAAGACGGAGACGTGACAGACTAAATCCATGTGTCGTTCACAGTTCTGACAAAACTGAACTGTCTCCTTAAACTTGGGCTGGGGGCGCCTAAAACACTTGGCAGGAGAAAAATGAAAGTGCAAAAAGCTGACTATAAAATGTGGACTATGGACGAATCTGAATCACTGAGGCGACACGAGGTGACCTTCACCAGCGACTCCATTAGCTGACAAAACGCACTTTCCTAAGCATCACGTGATCCCCGTCGTGTGGACTCACACCCAGGCTCACTGCAGGAGGCAGAGCCTGGACTGGAGCCAGCACTGCCGCTGGGGACACCGCTGCTGTTATTCTCTGCCATCTGCTACCTCCACCTTCCCCACTAAGAAATATTAGATCTGTCTCGAATTTCTTTATATACGATGCTATGGATTTAGAAAATCAGATAAGCTAAAACCCAAAAAGAAAAAACATTAACACATAAAACTGGACGTGGCTTGATTCACACTTTTCATTAATTTATTCAAAAAATATTTACTGAACACCAACAGTGTGCCAGGCACTGTGCTAGGTGCTGGGAGCCCAGCAAAGAACCCAAGAAATGACGCCTGTTCCCCCAGGACTTTAGTGTGGAAGATGGACCAAATACGAGACAGGAAACACATGACATAGACCCAAATGGTGGCAAGATATACAGAAGAAACAAACAAGCAGCTGAAACAGGAAGCCGACGGCAGCACCTACGTTAGGCAGGTCACGGAAGGAGGCGGCACTTCAGCCAAGGCCTGAAGGATGACAAGAAGGAACCGGGGAGGAATGTTCTAGAGAGAGGCAGGGCGGAAAGGGCAGGTTTAGGGAACTTAGAGGGCTCACACGCCACGGAGCTGTGAGCGAGTGAGGGAAGCTCACGAGGATACGGAGCTCCTGCCCGTAATGGGAAGCGCCTTATTTCTGTGCGCTTTCACACCATGCCCTCACGCTGACGGGTCCGCGGAGGCCGAGGGGCAGCAGGAGGCCCGGCAGGAGCGTGACCCAGGCCAGAGCGGGCGGTGGGGGCGCAGGGGGCCGAGTCCGGGTCTCTGGGAAAGAGTGTCAATGGCACTATCGAAAGGGCCACCGGGCTTCTGGCTTGAGCAACAGAGGAAAGGACGGCGGCTGCCGAGAGGTGCTCGGAGCCAGGCCAGGGAGCGGGAGCGAGGGTTCCCTGGGTGAGTGTCCGGGGGGGAATGTAAAGTAGAGGTGTCACGGGAACTAGCGGCTACATGAGTCTAGAGTCAGAAGTCTGGGTGGGAAATAAAGTTGCGAGTTGTCGGTACGTGGATGAAGGCTTTGTGCTACGTTATGGATGAGTCACCTACGGGGAAGAAAACAAGGGTTCATAGTTTCAAACCCTGAGATTTGGACACAGGCGGTGCCCACAAAGAAGATCGTAAAGCAGCAGCCTGAAAAAGGAAGAAACCAGAACACGTAGTGAAACGCAGAATGTTTCAAGGAGCCAACTGCTGAGGAGCGATCATGCCGGGCGGAGACAAGAGTTCCCACTGATTCTGGCAACACCGGAGTCACTGGGCCCCTTGACAAACCACGTGGCAGAGTGGCAGAACTAAGTGGAGGACAAAGAGACTTCTACGCATGACCCATGCGAGGGAAAAGCAGCACCTGCCAAAACACACAGACCTTCCTCCCTGCACCTCGTGCAGCCGCGTCTCCACGTCCTGCCTGCTGCCTGCCAGGGTGAGGCTGGATGGGACAAGACAAATGACGCTATGCAGTAACAACACGCGCAGTGGCCATGCACAGAAGCAGGTCAGCTAGACCTCTGCGCTCAGGAGGAAATCTGCCTGGTACTTGGGGATCCCAGATGCCTCTAGAAGACGCTGCTGGCCGCACTGCAAACCACAACAGACCTGTCACATCCACGTTGTTTTAACAGTCAGGTCAGCTACTTATACACACACAAGTGCTGGAGCCCACCAAGAAAGTCCACATTGCTTTTGAAAATACGTTTCTGATTTATAATTTTATTTCCATGTGATAAACTCTAGTAATAGTTTCTGCACATCTGTGCTGGCTGGCTTTGTTCTATCAGCCAAAAATATTCTTTGGGAAAGAAAAAAAAAATCTGATAGAAGAAATACCAGGAAAAAGAGCGAGTGGGTGGTGCTGAGGGACGAGAAAGGCACCTTTGCCAACACGCGGCCTGGGACGCCTCAGGTCCGCACCGGCCCTGACATGGCCTGGGTCCCAGACTGCCAGCACACACTCAGGAGTAAGACCTTGGCAGATAAAGCACTAAATTAAGACAATGCCAGGGAGAGCTCCACACGCGTGGCCTTCCTTGCCCGCTGGCCCAGGGCAGTGCGGACTGAAGCCTGACGTCCTGACAGCATAATCGCTAGACCACCTTTCACTCTCAGAAATTTCCCAATGTGCTCGACAAATTGCATAGTCATCTCATACACCATACACTTCTAAGACTGAAAAATACACGCAGTTACTTATTAAATGACAAGGAAATACAGAATTATAAACAATGGGACTGGAATCTTTTTTATTTGGACCAGTTCTCACAACTCTCCTAAACAATGAAACATAATCTAAAATAGGCTGCATTAAGAAACAAGTACAAATGTCACAGCAGAGTATAAATAAATCGCCTAGAACTCAATTCAAAACGAGTGCAGCATATTCGATGCTTTCAAATGTGGCACAAACACGTTTGGTGTCTCTCAATCAGCATTTGTAACGATAAAAGCAAGAGCGTCAAATTAATGGGCTGATACCCACTCAAACGTGTATATATTGTGTGCATTTCAAGATGTATGTTGGTGCGTATACACTGAGATTTAAGGTCACACCGCTACAGGAATTCTCAAACTGGGAAAGTCTCCGAAAGGAAATTGGTTCTCAGAAGTGATCAGAACAGGAAACGACTGACAGCCCCAGGAACATGTTTGTCTGCTACTTACAACTGCGCCTGAACAATTGAGACGTAAGCTGCCCTATGGAATGCTCATGTCAGCCTCTGCAGGCGAGCAGAGCACAAAGCCCTCTACCTGTAGCTGTTTTCCTGGGCACCATCCAATGTGTCTTGCGCCTCTTTGGCAGAAAATCCCAGAAGACGCCGCCTCTGGAGTGCAGGGTTCAAACCAGGGTTCCTTCTTCTAGAATCCTGTTCCAAAATGCTGAAAATGTAAAAATGCAAAACAGTAAGTGAAACAAAACCACTTCCCACCTGCTCTGTGTAACCCTGATGCAGCCCCATCCCCCAGCTCTGGGCAGGTGCAGGCGCGGAGCAGGACAGCACAGCTCGCCGGTGTGGCTGGCCCACAGCCTGGCGTCTGCACGGGGCAACCCTGAGAACACGTTTACAAGTATGCAAACCCCTTACTTACACGCTGTTTCACAAAGTCGGCATTCTGGATCTTTTAAAAACACTGTTATATACTGTATAAAGTAGAAATAATTACAGCGCACACATAAACAAAGTTTAAACTCAGGTAATGACTAAAAGAAGGTCTCCCAATACTGCAGGTGGCTGTTTCCAATGAGGCAAGACTTCCGATGAAATGGGAACTGCTCTCTGTATCAACAGCCAAATTCATCAGCCTTTCACTATCCCTGAGGGCAGACATCAAAGAAAGCTAACAAAAATTACTATAAAAATACTTGCATTTTTATTTACATGTAAAAATTTCCCATTTACTTCTTTTCCTCCACTCTCTAACACCTTCATTCATCAGCGTATGTCCTCTTGATGGGCATAAGTAGTTTGAGGCACGCGCGCACACACGGGAAATACCGCAATAGTTATGTAACATTTTAACTCATTAGTCCTGGGTGTAGAGGTCAGTAACATGGATTGTGTGTCTTCTGTTTTATACCACCACACACTTAACTCACACCGCTTATAATCCTGACATTGAACACAAAGGGGACCTGCTGAGGGTGGCACAGGAGAGGGAGCCCAGATTCTACGCACAGAGGGCCCTTGCAGCCATGTGGCTCTCGGAGGAAGGTTCTCTGGGGTGCAGTACTGCACCTCCAGAGCTGGGGAGGGTCTAACCAAAAGTGGCCACCTGTATGGTTAACGGGTGATTTGTAAGTTCAACGACCTTGGAATTACTCATACTTGGAAGTTTGGTGTGTTTTTTTTAAGATTTTTATTGGGGAATTGAGGGATGGGAACAACGCTGGGGAATTGGGGGAAGAGGAACAGACAAGATGCTGTTGTTTTGTTCTTCAGTCTAGTTGTGGAGGACGTTGCTTCA